GTGGCCGTGGAGGCGGGAGTCGAATTAATTGTTGGCGATAGTTATTTCTGTCCGAACTTCCTCAGCCTGGATCAGCCCCATAACCACAAACCATACCTTTATGGTCATATTTTCTTTTTAGGATGATGTAACAAAGCTAATTGATCAATTAATTTGTTGGTGTTTTCATGACACCCACGAGAAGGGAATTGGTATTTTCTGTGGTTTGGTCTGTCGGAGCTCATTGGATGCTATTTAATTTGTACTTCATGCTGACGTTTACCACCCTACCCCCAACACACCTTCACAACTCCTAAGCAAAAAGCTTCTAGCAAGGGTTTGTGGACCAGGTTCCTGAGGGAACTTAGACCCAGAGAACTAAGCATACTTTCCCTGCAAAATCTGGGAACCACACCCACTCATTTTATATCCCAATACCCCCTGGAGCCAGGGGCTAGTATGGAAAAGACTCAGGTCACCAGCATAAGCACATCCTTAACTCTGGATAGGAAAATGAACACTCACTCCAGAGGCCTGATTTGGGGAGGCAAATTGACACCCATCCTTAACACTGTCAGGTTGTTCTTTGGGACTGTCAGAAAGCCTGATAGACTACCAAGAGAGGCATCAGGGGGAATTAGAAGGATCTGAGAACGTATGCAACATAAACCATGTTAGATGCATTTGTTTGACATCTGAAGCTCAGCGCTCCGTTCTAGGAAGGAGAATTAGTGGTCTACTAAGTTTAAATCCAGATTCCCTAAGGCAATTTTCTGAACCCCTAAGGAACTGTCAGTAACCTCCTGATGGAACTGTAATAATCCTGAGTTTGAAAAAAAAGAAAGAGGCTTCATATCTGAATGGCTAAGTCATACATGTTGAACTTTTAAAAAGCAAATAATAAAAAGTATATAAACGTTTCGAATTGCTTCCAAGAAATAACCAATCAAAAGAAACAGGAGTTAAAATAAACAAAATGAATAGTATTTTTAACACCGAACAATGCTACATATTAGTAAAAGTAATAGTTGTATGTAAAGTCTACATTTATTAGCAGTTTATATGCAGACCCCAAAACTCTGTGTGGATTCCTATGGGATAAGAAACAAAGCAGATGACCAGACCACAGAGATGGAGCTTTTCATGGGGGGTGGCTGTTTGGCACCTCAGCGTTTCTATACAATACATAGCTCTTGGTGCTTGGGTTTCTTTGTGTGAAAAGTAGAAAACTTTTCTTCTAAAATTCACCAATGCTTCCCAGTGCCCAGGACTGGCTATCATTTTTGTCTTGGCATTCATACAGCCAGCAGGACTTTCTAACCCCAGAGCTCCTGCTGATGAGACGAAGGGCGTGCAGCCGACTGAGAATTAAGGGCACAGAAGTCTAGCATTGCAAAAGAAGAACTGACAACCTCCACGGCCAGAAATACACATTTCAATTATGGCTTCTAAGGCGGAATTTCATAGGCTCTACCTATAATCCATCTGAGTCCAGGGGTTTTTTATTTTCCCATGTATGATTTATGTTCTGCTGGAAAAAATACCAGAACTGCCCAATATTTCTTATTTATTATTGGCAAGGTTAATTTTTAAGGCAATGCTGCTTTCATCTTTACATAAAATATTTTGGGGAAAATTTTGAATCACAGCTGAGGCTAAACTCAAAGGGTATAATTAACCCCAGGGGTCTTCTTGGGGCAACCTGCCTATTGCTGCTGACTCACAAACTGGCATTTACAAATAATTACAAGATTGGTTTTACTGAAATTGCCCAGAATGATTTCAGTTACAGCAACCACCCCAAAACCTCGGGACCCTTTAAATCATTTCCTCTGCTAGTGTGTTCAATTAAACAGTGAGCCTCCTGAATACCGGGCCCTTGTTCCTTCTGTAAAAGCCCTTTCCTTGACAAGCATGGCTTTGTGCAGAGTCTGGGAAGGTTTTTTAGCTCCACTTCTAATTTTTAAGAAAAATAGCTGACAGTAAACATTTGAAGATGAATAAGACAATTGGTTAAATAAACCTCTTCTTCCAAACCTGAACATACTTACAAGTTATAAAACTACAAGTTGATCAAAATCTCTATGATTTTAGTTGAAAATGATATTCCCTTAGAAGTACTATAATAGGAAAGAATATATTTCTATACAGAGACCTCAATATTTTTTTAAAGAATTAACACAACTAAATGTTTTCATTTAGCTAGCAAAAGTGTATCTCATTCCCTTGGATGACTTCATGTACTAATAGACTACTTGGTACCCAGTAGATGTTCAGTACATATTTGTTGATTAAACCATAAACCATTCAAAATGGTATAACTATACATTGTATGAAATATATAAAATACTATAAATATAAAATACTCTAAATAGTAAGAGAATATCAGAGTAACACAGTAGTCATTCAGACAAGTTGATAACAAATTATAGTGTTCTAACTGTGTTAAATGTTAGAACTATCTTATAACTATGGTGCAAATTTTAGAGTTTAGTTTTGTGCGATTCCAATTATATTTTCTCTGAAGCAAATCCAGACATAAAAGTTTACCTTCATCATGGCTATTGAGCTCTACGAAGATTGCTTGGAGGAATTTTTGTCCAAATGACTTTAAAGAGACTTGGGACAACTGTGTACCTTGGAGATGAGGAATTCTTGATCTTAGTGTGACTCTCTCTCAGATTGGCCGGAGGTCACACATTGTGTCCTCGGTGTTCCACGGTATCATGGAAATAGCTGAGACGTAGTTGATTCCCTCCAGGGCGATGACTGTTACTGTCCTGCCATGACGGAGCCCCAGAGAGCTCTGGATCCCGTGCCCATATTTTGCAAACGTAGAGACTAAGTGCTATGGCCAAGGCATCAGACACCCCACAAAATAGAATTCTGAGAAGGTGTTTTGTGGTCTTGACCCCGCCCTGGAAACCTACACTGCTCCATTCTCAGGAAGAGCAGGAAGGAAAATGCAGGAGTGCAGCTCCCATGACTTCTGTCTCAAAGAGGCTTGGAGAACCTGTGCTCTAGCCTGGTGGTTAGGTTGGAAGGGCCCCCACACTGCCTGATGAAAATCCCCTCCTTCCTTAGGCAAAGAGGTCGTCCAGCACACTGTTCACGTTGTGATCCTCAGTGCAGAAAGTTGCAATGACTGCTGTCCACTTCCCTTTGATGCTGTGGTCACCAGTCATTCAATTTGGGCTTCCAGTGCTAAAATCTAAAATATTCCAGACTCCCTGAGAAGACTTGGTCACCCTAATTCAGGCAGCAAATAGAACTTACCAGGTTCTATTGTATCTTGTTCTTCGATTCATTCAGCAAGACTGAATTTACCCAGAGCGCATGCCCTCCTCCGAAACAGGGTACACTGAGTTGCTTTTCAGTGCTGGACATTTATAATGCTCAGACATCATGGGAGTACTGCTCAAGACTCAGAAGAGCCTACATAGCTGGCATAGCTAAACTAAATTTCTAAGTATTTTCCACTTAACAGTTGGGGTCTGGCTAGATAGTAGTCTAAAAACAGGACAAACCCTTGCCTGAAACCCATTTATCATTGCATTCTTGGGTTTTTCTTTAATGATTTGGTTGAAGAAAACAAATAATAAACATAAATGTTCTATAAGATGTCCCTCAGTCATCAAAATTGTAGACTGTCCTTGCTGCAGGGGTATACATGTCCCCGTGACTACCATTTCTCAAGCCTAAATGTACTCACAGGCTTCCAAATATGCTTACCACGGGGCAAGTCTGCACTTCTGACGAGTGCCCGATGCTGTGTGTGCGGCTGGGCCTCGGGGCTGTGCACTACGTTTCCCTCTCTGGTTCCTCCTGTAGGGGTCCCCAAAGTGACTGAGCAAGGAGACCAAGCTAGGTACTGTCTTTGCCAGCCACAGAGTGCTTGGGGGCACAGCCTGGTGGCAAGCCTCTTCCTGGCTCTTCTGCCACACGTTTGCCATTCTGTGTCACGTAGAGCAATCCAGGGTGACCCACCCGGAAGGTACCTATTGTAACTCCCCCCGAAGTGTTCTCTGTGATCTGCAAATAGACGGCAGATGTCGCTTATCCTAGAAAGCGTAGGATTCCTAACGTCCTTGGAATTTTAACTTAACCCTTTACATCAGAAATTCCCTCACCTTGTCCCTCTCGGCATACACTAATGGAACAGCTTCTCTTAGAGAAAGTCAGCAACCTCCACCTCTTACAGTTTGTCACATACAAGTTCATCTTCCTAATTGAACTTGGAGTCACAGCTCTACAATCTGAGGGAACTTGCACGACAAATAAAGAAGAAAATGACCTTTTTCTGTTATTGCTGTTGAGAAATGCTAAAGCCATTTTGTTCTTTCTCCTCTCACAAACAAAAAGGTTTTAATGGTTGTTGCTTTGATTCATTAAAGTGGCAAGGATTATCACTCATTTTGTCAAACCATAAATGCAGTATACTTAAAGGAAAGTTGCCTCTGGCAAGCTGTGTTTTATTTCACCACAATTAGACACTTTTTAAAAATGATCCTAAGCAATAAAATTTAATTCATGGAAAGCCAGTTACAAGAACTCAGCACCATGCACTCCTGTTGGGGTCAGACCCTCAGGCTTCTGGGACGAGTACTGTGCCAGAGGAAGAACTTCACTATTTGGAGAATTAACTCGATGGATACGTTTTTACTCAAAGACTTACATTTTCCATATATCACGCTGTCAATCAAAATATGTGAGGTTTATAAGAATTAAAACTGCAGTCATGAAAGTATCAAGAAGAGAACAGAGACAGAAAAAGGCCTTTACTAAAATGGAAAAAGGACGTTGCTAATAGGACAGTGGTTCCGGAACATTCCAGAAAGGCACTCTCGGTTTGAGCTAGGACTGATAGAGCTAAGTGGAATTTGATGTCTCCCATTTATTGCATTTGGGTTTCTGAAAAAGCAAGAAAAGTGCCAGCCTCGCCCCTCACTGCATTCCATTCTGATGGATGCACTTACCCTTCTGCGCACTGAAATTTCATGTGTGTTCACTGACTATTTCAGGAGAGCCCAGCGCACCTAAGCTCGAAGGGCAGATGGGAGAAGATGGGAACTCCATTAAGGTGAACTTGATCAAGCAGGATGATGGCGGCTCCCCCATCAGACACTATCTGGTCAAGTACAGAGCGGTGAGTGGCCTCCTCCCTAGACCCCACGTCCGGCTTTGCCACCCTGACACCTGTGTTGGCAGGGCGACAGCATTCAAGTCCGTAGGACAGGTGGGAGACTCAGGGACCCTGGCCAGGATTTTAAAATCCCAAGACTGACTTTCAGCTATTAAGCCATTTCCACTCTGGGAGCCTTTGAAAATTTCTGAAATGACTGACACAGTGGCAAACTCACATCCCAGGTGACTTTTCTGATTCTTGAGTTTTTTCTACAAAGTTATCCTGCCATTTGCAGAGTTTTTTGACAAATGTTGACCTAGGATCTAATGGTGACTTTTTTTAACGTGGTACGTTCTGGGCTGGACACTGTGTGAAGAAGGTGCATTCTCAGCCCAGAAACCCTGAGCAGTAGGTCTTAGAATTAGCTCCACTTTGCAGATGAGGTAGCTGCAGCTGCTGCAGGCAGAATCAGTGCCTGGCACTCTCACAGTTCAGTGAGCCGGAGTTTGAGTGCAGGGCGGACTGAAGAGCTTGGCTGCTGGTGTTACAGAGGGCTGTCTTCAGATGCCAGTGCAGGACAGATTCCAGCACCTGCTCTTGCCTCTGCACCCCAGATCTACTTTTGTCTAATAATGATCGTGGCTCTAAGGCTCTTCTTCCAGCTTGTTCACCTCCCACCTAAGATCTCTGTCACCCCAATGCCCAGACTGAGGATCACTCTCTGGCTTTCTGGGTTTTAAGATGACACATGTCTGTTGCCAAGTGCAACAGTACAGTTGCTGGGAGAGGTAGAGTCCGTATCTGGGCGTCGGGAACACCCTGTTTCTAGGGCTTCCTGATGGTGAAAGATAATGAACCAGAGCAGATCCTTTCTTCAGGTAATGCAGAATGAGGTGTTATCCAGGAAGTTCGCTTTCTCCTTCTGCTTTGTGTTCAGCCCTGTGAGAGTGACATACTCATCCCATAAGGATCTTAAACTGGTGACACGTCTTGAGTCCCCTGTGGACACTCATCCAGTGGGCAGCTCTAGTAGGAGGTCTGTCCTGGAGATGCGACTGAATGACATGTCCCTGTGACTTCTCACTGCAGAGAAGGATGCAGGGACAGGGCAGGTGGCCCTCCTATGCCATTGGAAGCAGTGGGTACAGTAAAAAGAAATGCCTCTGGCCATTGTTAGACTGGTATGCCCAGTAGAGAGAGCATGATTTTAGGGTTAACTATGCATGGTATTGGATTCCAGCCTTACCACTTAGCAGCAAATGAACTGAATGAGTCACTCAGCATTCCAAAACCTCCATTTCTTCATTCATAAAATGGGTATAAATTACTTATCAAGTCATTGCAAAAATCAGTTACATACAAAGAAGTGGAGATATGTTTGATACTTGAAAATCTCTATCAATCTAACTAATATTACTTCTAAAATGTAGGGTCAGTCTAGAATCATCTCCCATAGGTGGCTATCGCCAGTGTCACTTAGCTTGGGCAGCCATTGTGACTCTCCTCCCATAGGTGGCCATCGCCAGTGTCACTTAGCTTGGACAGCCCTTGTGACTCTACAGTGATGACTGCAGCAAAATGCTGAGATACAGAGATTTCAGCAACCTTGACAATCCTTTCTTTCATTCAAAACTTAATATTTGTCAAATATCGTCATGTATTATTAATATGTATTGTATAAGACAATGTCGACTTTATTGAATAGATGCTTTACAGGCTAGCTTTCTCTTTTGTAATGATGTTTGTCAAGGAAGACAGAGAAAAAAGAGCAAAGACAGGCAGCTTAATTTTTTGTTTCAGATTAAAACAGAGGCCCATACTGAAATATGCAAACTAACTTACAGCACAACTCCTACTGCCTGATTAGACTCTGAGAAACTAGAATTCCCCCGTTAACGTTTCCCTGTAATAGTCCCAGGCCCTGGAATAAGAACTGTCACATTCTTAAAGGCATCTTGTTAGCTGGTACAAACCAGTGTGCCTGGGTAAGACCCCTCTGCTATAGGATAGCTTGTCCCTCCAGCCTCGGCCCTGGGCCTGTGGTAGCCACTGGACAGTGCTGCCAAGGTCCTTGTCTTCCAGTAAGCATTTGTTAAAGGCTGTTGCCTGCCCCCTGTGTACCTCAGGGCGTATGCCTTGTGCAAAAGCCAGAGTTTGTAAAAGGGTGGGGCTGCGGAAGTACAAAGTCATTGGAAGACTTTGCAGCGGTCATCAGATCTTCTCCCACATCTGTTGTGTTAAGAAGCTAATCTCCTAACAGTTGTGTAAACTCCTGTTCAGTATAGACTCACTGGGGCATGTGCAGACTGTAACCAGAGAGAGTTACTTGCGGACAGTTCTTTCTCATGTAACTAGAACTCTACTTGAGTTCCAGGCCTGTCTAGAAGAGTGCATGATCTCTGAGTGGGACACTCATGTGGGTCCTGTGAGCATCCCAAGGTTGGGCCTGCTGGCAGGACCCCATCTAATCAGCTGTAGTTGTAAAGCCCACGTCACCTACATGGAATATAAAATCCAATTCAATTCCATAGATTTGCACAGCTTCCTACCATGAAAGCACAAAACAGCTTTCAGCCAGTACAGACTTTGCTTCCCTCTCCCTGGAAGGTGACTTTGGGAAGTCACCTGAGCTCTCTCTCATATTCCCGTCATGAGACTTAGTATGGCCCAAACAAAACCTCTGCAGCTTTTCAGAGAGACACAATAAGAAAGTGTGTGGATGGCCTTTAGTACAGTGTCTGGCACAGTGTAGGTGCTTGATAAATGATAGTTTTTATTTTTAGTAAAATTGGAATCTTTGCACTATTTACTTGTCAGAAAAGAGAATCATACACCTGAATGCAAGCAGCATTCTGAAACGTGATTACCAATGTATTTTTTACCCTTCTAGGATGTTCTCAGGCCTCTCTCCCCAGGATCCCAGAGTTCAGCCTGAGGCTGAGGACAGTGCTTGAGCTCTGCATGCCCTGAGGGTGGTGGGACCTTGCAGGGGTTAGACCCAGACCACAGCAGTGTGCACTACTGTTTACATTTGCAAACACGCAAGGTTGACCTGATCTGTGTAATCCTTGGGATTTTTCAGGCGTATCAAAAAAAGTCTCATCATTGCTTCCTATTTTTAAAAATGTTACACCAATCATTTTTTACTTCCCCAAGTTTTGCCTGTCAGCCTGCCTCACCTCATTTTTATTAAAGCTTTCTGGTGTCATGTGCCTCTCCTGCTGATTCCTCCCAAAGCTCTCCTCTGATTGGAAACCAGAGATCAGGCTCCCATCTGGCAGCGACCACGTCATGCTCAAGTCGCTGGAATGGAACGCCGAGTATGAAGTCTCCGTGGTGGCTGAGAACCAACAAGGAAAATCCAAGCCGGCTCATTTTGTGTTCAAGACCTCAGCCCAGCCCACGGCTATCCCAGGTACAGCTGCCTCTGCTTTCTGTGAGTTTCCTGCTTTAAATTAATGCACAAGTGCTGCACCTCCTAATGCGCCTGAACGACCCTGACAACTTGCTTGCTTACAGCCATCTCATGACTGGTTGACCATGCAAAGCTTAGTTTTGCCTTGTACCTCTGTGCAGTGGGTTGAGATGAACTGGACCCCCAGGAAGGCTTGACCAAGCATCCTGGGGAAAAGGTCCTCTCTGTTTCTGCCTTAAACAACTGATGCTAACCAGTCCATGGGACCCCCTCAGATGGGAAATGCCCCAGCTCCTGCCTTGCCTCAGATGCTGTTGAGTAAGGATCCTTTATGAGACCTTATCTGCCATCTACCATTCCACACCAGGACCATGGAACGGCTTTGTGTGCTTTCTTTTTGACATTCGCTTTATATACACAGCCATGGTCCAAATCTCTTCTCTGTGGGGACTCCAAGAGAAGAAATACATGGTTCCCAGTTAGTTATAAACCATATCTGTCTAGAGCCTCTCCACTGACACAGAGATTAAACTGAACCTCTTGAAATGGAACAAGTGGAGAAAACAGATGCTGGAAAGCACCATGGATGAAAGGCAGTTAGTCTGCTAGAAACCGTGGTGTCCCCCGAGCTCTTAGAGATGCAGATCTGTCTCTGGGGATCCAGGACCAACTCAAGTGTGGGAATAAAGTGAGAGTTCTGCTTGCAGCCCAGCCACCTTGATCTGCTGGCTGATCCCCTCATTGGCCAAATCCCTGTGTAGAGAGAGATCACTTTGTTTTTCCAGGCCAGACAAATGCCGGCCACAGGCAGGAGAGGGGCACAGAATACACAGCTGCAGCCTGTTGGGGGGGCTCCACACACTGCCCACTCACGTGTGGCAGGACAATGGCCTTGGGGAGCGCCCCATGCCTGCCCTGTCTGTAGAGTTTGCCGAGAAATTTGGCTCAGGTGTCAGGATTGCTCCTGCCAGGGGGAAGACAGGCCAGAGAGGATGTAGGCTGCCTGCGACACGCGGGTATGTACATAATGATACAGCGACGCAACAGCAAGACAGAGATCAGCGTGCGGTTCCTAACGGTTGTTTGTGTGTGAATGAGTGTGTTTGGGAGACATATGAGGCCTCCGGTGAGTTGGCAGGTGAGAGTTAAGCTGCAGATCCCAGGCATCAGTTGCATTATGGGGCTCCCCAGCATGTGCTGGGGAGTCTGAAGGACGGTGCTGAAGGAAGGCAGCTGGGTGTGATTGCAGGAAATGTCTTCTTTATTGCTTAATAGGGTGTCCAAATGGAGTGGCCCTTCCTTTCCTCTGCCTCTTCTTATGTTCTTTGGTCAGTGTTTCTTTGATATTAATGGTACAATGTGAGTGTCCAGATCCTCTCTGCCTTGTGGGACACATAGGAAGTGGGGGCAAAAACAGGCCTCAGAAGCCTCAAGACAGCAAGACGGATTTCTTACGGTGACTGTTCCCTGCAGTGAGGTCTCATTAGCAGGTTGCTTGGGCATTCTGGATTCCCATGCTGGGTACTGGCAGCAGCATTTATTTCTGAATGACAAAAATACTAGGGAGACTTCGGTCCTCAAGAGCCCTCGTTGTCCATCATCCAGGTGCCCAGTTAAGCCAGAGCAGGCTTGGGGGTGCTTGCCTGGTGCAGGACGGCTGTGCAGCTGCACTGCCCAGGCGTTGGGAGGAGGTGGCCTACGCTTGGTTGGATGTTCCTGGCCATAGCATTGGGACCCAGGGATAAAATCTCTTTGCATCACCGAACATACATTTGTGGCTGAGCCCTGTGGTGAGCAAGGTAGTGGAAGGTGAGGTCTGCAAGACTCCAGCAGCCCCATGGTAGAGGTTTAGGCACTGGGAGGAAAGGTCTGCTTCACCACAAAGGCGATACTGCCCCGTGCCCAGTGTGCCCACCCTAGTGCAGGCGGTCTCCAGTGGCAGACACCGGAGACAAGAAGCTGCTCATGGCTGCACCTAAGGGGCATCACTTAGCGAAGGTGACACCTTGCTACCCACACCCTGGCGCTCCCCTCTGGAGGCTCCTGTCCTCTCACTTTAATTTCATTTGCTCGCTGGCCCCTTACCCCAGAATTAACCCTGCTGTGCTGCTTCTGGCATTGCTGAGCTTCTGACCTGGCCTGTGGTGTTGATACCGCACTGAACCCTCCTCTAACCTTTGTCAGTTTAATTTACTAACTTGAATTAACCTTGAATTCTTGCGTTTTCCGATATTTGACCTATTTTTTTTCTTTTTATCTATTTTTTTCTCTGTTTCTGTCTCTGCCTTCTCTTTCCTTCCCCTCCCCTCCCTGTGTCTGTTGTCGCCCTTGTCACCGTGGATGCCACTGGCACATCCCCACCACCACGTTTATTTTTAAACAACCATCTTCTCTGTGGGGACCCATGGCTTGGTGCCTACAGCCACCCTGGGAGGCAGTTCTGCATCCTACACTTTTGCCTCCTTGCTTTTCTCTGCAGTGACTCTTCTTCTGCTCTGTTAGAAACTTGACCACAAAAATTAAATTTGCTTAAAAGCTCAGTTCCTCTGAAAATGACCAGTGCCCCCCTTGGAAGGACCCCATCAGAACCACCATGACCCCACCACAGCCCCTCAGCGAGCGTTCTATGCGGACGAGGAAAGTTTTGCAGTTGGAAAAAGCTTTACCTCCTGACATTTTGCCATTCACATATCCCTTTGTGCCACTTCATAAGGAATTTGCCCCTTTTGTAATGGCATTAAAAAGAATTTGATAGCTCTTCCCTTAAACCTCATTTAAAAAAAAATAAAGCATTATGCTAGGTTCACAGAGAATTCTCTGCATATCTGCTACTTGTTGCATTTTTTTGTAGCAGAGGAAGAATACTAGGCATCTTCTAAAGCTTGCCTCAGATTATTGAAATCACCACATGCCCCCTCATTCTAACTTTGTCCCCTCCTCTGCCCTCCAGTAATAGTTGGCTTTGCTTGCATTTGAGAATTTAAGTGCCTGTGTTGAAACAGCCATCCATGGTCGTTCACCTGTGCTCCGCTGATGGATAAATTAATACTGTGCCCCCAGTATCATAACCAGCACCTTCAGCTGTCTCTAGGAAGAAGGGCAAACTGTGATGCATCCAACACATCAGCTTTGAAAGGTGCTTGTCTCCTAGTGGAAGTGATTCCTGTGCTGCATAGCAGTGCGTCATAGGTCAGCACAGAGCCTTTGAGTCCTGGGGGTTGTGGTTCAACCATGACCCACCTTGTCCCATGAGCATCCCTATACTAGACAGGTTGGAAGCCTCCACTGTGAACCAGGCATGAGCCGCTCACCTTCTCTGTGCTTGCTCAGAAGTACAGAAGGGGAGAAACAGGCCACTCCCAAATCACTCAGGCCCAGAGTGTTAGGGGATCTGGCAGGCATTCAGCCTGTCAGCTCTTCAGAACGGCTCAGCCTCTCAGCCTCCCAGCCTATTAGATGTTCGGTGACACTTTTAGTGCATTCATGGAAAGCCAGGTGCCCCCGTGTGCTGTTCTGGAGTTCACCCCGGAGAGGGGGTGGATGGGTTTGGTATGGGATGCATAAAGACCCGGGGCTGAATCCCTGTCAGCTTGTGAGCATGGGAAAAGACCTTCTACCAAATAAAAACTCCTTCCCCTGTTATGGTCATTTATCATACGACCTGTTGCTTCTCCGAACATCTCCGTACAAGTTTGATTTTCATTCTTTTATTCTCTATATATATTTTTTTCATTGTGATTTTTTAATGTTAAAAAGACTAGTTTTTCCCATTGGGTATTTACCCGACTCCAACTCCAAGCTGTGGCCTGAGAGCAGAGTCACTTATGCTGGCACCTGCAGTGTCCCCGAATTCTGCATAGAGGCCCTGAGCTGCAGGCAGCACCTGACCCCAGTCCCAAATCCGTGCCCTGGAGCCCTGGTTTAGTGTGCCCCCCCCCAGGGCAGTGACAAGGACAGCTCTCAGGCACAGTGCAGAGCCATAGAGAGAGGAGTACAGTGCCTGCGGAACCCAGCATGAGACTAAGAAGTTAGGAAGAGCTGCAGAGAGGGCAGTTCTCTTGGCTCCCTCATCCCCCGAGTAGAATTCCGTGTATTCACCCTGTGGGAGCTCAGCTCGATGACCTGCCTCAGCCTGGTCCCAAGCCCACCCACAGGAGAGGAATGGTGCATTGCTAAAGGGATCTTTGGAAATCCAGCCCTAAACATGGAGAAGACTGACATGGCCTTGTGCCCTCAGCTAGGCAGCCCTCAGCGGGGAAAGCCATAGGGTCCTCACAGCTGGTCGGAGACCAGGAATAGTTTGCCCTTCCATAGGCCTCGTTAGTGTGTGCTGGCTCTACATGCTGAGATCCTGGTGAAGCCTCCGTCGGCACCAGGAATCCTTAACAGCGGTCGTCCAAGAGCCCTGCAAGAGTGAGCTCTGCTCATCTTCTCGTCCACCTAGCCTTTGTGCTCTGTGTCATCTCTGGTCTCATGCCACATGCCCTGGGGTTTCTCTGCTCATATTTGGAATATTTATACGGCAGGTTTGAATCACATTTTTCTACTAATAAGAATGCTAACATTGTGTAGATAATCAGCGAGGCCTTTATGAAGTTTACACCTTTGCATTATTAAAGGATATAACAATTCACGTGAACTCACCAGTGTGTTTTGATTTTATTTAATAGTTGTGTATCCAACACAGTGTCTAAGAGCTTTCCCTCCACCTCTCCAGTGCCTGATAACTGATTACCTAGCAAGTTTGGAGTTCTAGCCAAACAAGATCCTTGCCCTTCTTCATGAGAAGCAGTATGCATTTCCCAGCCATTCTAAGAGGCGTTATGGGTCATTGCTGCCTTGGAATACTCAGCACCAGAAGGAAGGAAAAACGCCTTTGCAGAATTGAGAAGGTGGTCATTAGCCACTAGGGTATCCTCTGAGCCACCAGATTCATAGCTCTGTAGCAAGATCTTCTGATCACATAAAACCTTCACTCCTAACCGACGCTGTCCAGGTTCTTGTGACACAGAGAAACTCAGAGAAGGTTCTTTTTGACAAACTGTATTTTGTTTGTAATTACACTTAGACACGTCTTGCAAGCCCCTATAGAAGCCATTTCTAGGAAGTAGCAAACAGATCTGTAAGGAATTTGAGTGAGCCAGAATCCTGGTGAGACTTAACCATGCTGAGAATCTTCATGTTCTTAGGAGGCTGAGAGGGAAATTATGTAGCTGGGCCCCACGGCGCAATGACTCCAGCCCATCCAGGTGTCTATAAAGCGTGAGACCCACATTCCATTTTAAGGCATGTGTGAGTGGCAGTTTGGGGGCAAGCCAGTTCCTACTTGAGTGCCAACTTCCCCCCAAGCCAGGAGCCAGAAGACAGACAGCCCCTCCCGCATAATCTCACTGCTCAAGGCAGGTTTGACCTCAGCGAACATGAAGGAACTGCTCCCAAGAAGCCTTCTTTGCATGCAAGGTGCCTGGGTGAGTCAGTTAAGGTAAAAGGGGAGATCGTGGATCGATGGATCCCTGGAGATATTTTTATTTTCCCTTTTATAAAATGTTACATGAGATGTAGGAAATAACCTTTGTGCCAGTAGCTTTCCTGGACTAAATAGTTCTGTAACATCAACCAAGAGGGGTGATATTGACTTGCCTTGAATTCCCGTCCAGCTGAACTGTGCTCGCTCTTTGATTTACAGCTCCTTTCTATAACTGTGGCCACAGGGCTCCCTGTAATGTGAGTAGCATCTCACTTGCTCTAAGAGTCTTGAATCTTAGCAGTGTTGGGTTCCTTTCTTGTAGGAGAGTCTTTGCTTTCTCTCAGTCTATCCAGTACATCAAGCTAATGTTTTGTCAGGTCATCAGGTGAGAGGCCCAGTTCCTCCTTGGTGAGGGATCGGGGTGAGGTCAGCTGTGGTTGCTGTGACAGAGGGAAGGGAAAGCCTAGGAATGGTGGGCTGTACCTAGATTATCTGGGGTACTTGCGCAGATCCCATTTCCTGACACTCACCCCCAGTTAAACAGTGTTTGTTTTTCATGCAAAAATAGAATCACAAGGATCATGATTAAAGAGGGACTCTACTGAGCACTTTAGTCTTCCAGGAAAAAGTCCTCAGTATGCATTGTGGAGACGGGGCTTAAGGAATCCAACCCTGTTCCAGATACTTAGAACATCTGACCTGAGTGATAAGCTCTCGCAGTTGAAGAGAACCCACAGACATCCTCCACCCGAGGTCCTATTGAGTGCAGTGCATCCACAGCGTTACAGCGTCACGGCCAAGGAGTTGCCCTTCCTCTCTTGAACACCTCCAGCAACCAGCAGCTGGCCTGTGCATTGCGTGACCAGCTCCGATAGTTCTTACTTATATAGAGCCGACATCTTCACCCCAGGCCTTCCCCATGATTTCCATTGGCTGACTTGATGCAGAATAAGGCTCCTTGTTCCTCCTCACGGCAGACCTGTAGCTGTGAAAGTAGTGTTACCATCTCCAGGCTAAACATGCGTTCATGCAACAAATAGTCTGTGAGCATTTCCTGAGTCAGGGTCATCCTAGGTACCGAGGGGAGAGAAGAGAGCAAGACCAGCACCTTCTAGGGTATTCTAGAAGAGACAGCCAGAGATAGCAAGCATGTAAATGAACAGAAGATGGCAGAGAGTGGTAAGAAGAATGAACGGCACGTGAGTTGGGGGTGCTTTGCTAGAGAAGAGACCAGGGTAAACCTCTTGGAAAAGGTCACTTAGTGACTGAGGCCTGCAAGAGAGCAAACAGACGCACTTGAAAGTGTTCATCAAGGGGACAGTGTCAGGCCCCGGGGCGAGGTCCTGGTGTAAACAGCAGGCAGAGGACAGGGTGGCCTGTCTGAGTCACAGGGAGCCAGGGTCCTGCCACCATTTACACAAGTCGGAGAGGTGGACAGATTCCACAGAACATGTAGGGTGTAGGCCAGCGAAAGCCTTGGCGTTTTATATCAAATGAAGGAAGAGAACCCTGCACTACCTGTGGTTTAGTGCCACCATGAAGTCTTTTTACCCACCTGCCTCTGCTCGCTGTCATCCTTAGACCTAGTGTGGCCTGCAGCTGAACCTGATGAGCCCGGAGCAAAATCTGTCCCAGCTGCATCAGTGCACAGAGAGACAGACTCCGTGTTTACATGTAAACCTCAGCATGTAGGATTCATGCCACTGAGTCCAAAAATATAGATGCAGCCTACATAGACACCAAACAATACTTCCAGCCTCTGCAGGAAGTAGGCTCTTTATACCTACAAGATACTGAAGTCAAAAGACTACAGTGGCTTCCGGCCCAATGTCACGGGATGGAGAGAAATTTCAAGACCTAATGGCTGCCCATTCCAGGAAACAGCTGTGGACCCTAAAGATGGGGAACGCTTGCATCTTTCTTTTCTTTTTTGGGTGCAATGCAGATGGATGGGAAAATGGACAGGTGTTTATTTTATGCAACCAACCAGAAGTGCCTGTGCATTTTAGGTAGCTTTTGAGAAAATGCCTCCACTCTAGCTGAAGGCTGGTTTCTTTCTGCAAAAGGCCAGAATCAAGGTAGCCAGAGTCCCTCGCCAGTCTCAGGCCTTTCTGGAGGAATTGGTTAGGGTGGAAAGGGCCAGCCAGAAAGCCTGAGGAGGAAAGGCTGGGAGGCAAACCAGGGTCCTGTTTGGAACCCAGAGAGTCGCTTCTAGCTCAGGCCCTATTGCACACAGAAAAAATAGGTTGTGAGAGGTCTTCTCCACTATGCTGGTCACATGGCTGGTACCCTGGATGAAATTTGAAAGAACCAGGGAGTGGCACTGCCACTAGATAAGCCCTAGAGCACCTAAGCAAGGACCCTACAGCACACAGATCAAGCTCCCCCAGAGCACAGAATAGCAGCCTATTTTACACTGCTTACCTGGGGTTTTATGACCTTCCTGACACACGAGTGTCAGCCCACTTGATTCAGCAGAGTGAGCCAAGCCCCATATAGTGTTGGTCCCAGGTCCTGCCTCCAGTCCACAGACCGTTTTCCAAGGCCACTTGAGACAAGGTTTGGTAGTGGTTCTGGACCCATGCGTTGCCTAAGATAAATGAATCAGAAGTGCCATTATTCCATTTGGGGTCCTTGTGTCCCCATGGACACAGGCAAAGCTCTGCATAGATTCTTGCTTACCATAGCATTATGGCTGGTCTCCCAAAGACTGATGGAAACCAGCAAGGGGTCAGTGAGGCCATCCCAAGCAGCTAACAACCGTCATGGCCACACAGAGCTGAGCCTGGATCCTTCTGTGATAGTATTAAGAGCCTAAACTGTGGGGCCCTGTAGGTGATTGACAGGGACACTAGACAGACAGGCCAAGTCTTTCAAATGAACCCAGCCAGAACTGAGGGGTTGGGTGTTGCTGAGAGGTGAGAATGTATTTGTCTGTGTGGGCTTTTGTCCTGCATATGAGTGTGCCTGTTTGTGTGAGTGTGCACTTCTGGGTGTGTCAGCTGGTTTTCCTGAAGTCTGACCAGAGTGTGCTTGGCTCCTATAAGGTGAGTATTCCCAGTCTTCACCTTACCCACCAGGCCTGAAGAGGCTGCCACGTCTCCAAATACACATGGGCTACGTTCATTTTTGGGGGGAGCAGCCAGGGTGGAGGGGTAGTTCATGAGTCTGCATAGTCCAGTATTGGACTCCTTTGGAGCTGTTCCTAAAAAGGGGAGAGGCAGTATTGGGCACCTTCTCAGGCTACAAGTCACAAGGACGCCCTGGGGACCCTATCTGGGACCCCGTCCCTTACTCTTCTCCAAGCCAGTACCTAACTGGAAACCAGTGACCATGCTTACTCGCCCTCTGAAGCCTGGGGAACACACAGCAGTGCCCTCCAGATGTGTCTTCACCCAGTGTCCTCAAGTACTGCCCAGCTGGGCTTAGCCTGCTCCCAGCACTCACAGGCAGGCTCTGAGAGCACGTGGCTCTGGGAGATGCTGGGTTTGAAAGGAGGATGGGGACACTGCTTCCAGAGTCCACACTCGTCCTAACCTGGGGACTCATCCTGTCCCTGACCTGAGATGAGATGAGCTGTGTCTTCCCCTTTGAAAGGGTAGAGAGACCTTGTTGTCTCCACACCAGTGCATAGAAAAGCCCAAGGGAAATTGCACATGAATGCTCTGGCTTTGTGCCCTGGGCTTGACCTTCCCCAAGGGCTGTTGCTTGCAGGGCAGGGACTCAATCTCAATATGCTAACCTTTGGCCATCTCTTTCTCATTTAAGCCAATGGCAGCCCCACATCAGGCCTGAGCACGGGGGCCATCGTGGGCATCCTCATTGTCATCTTTGTCCTACTCCTGGTGGTTGTGGACATCACCTGCTACTTCCTGAACAAGTGTGGCCTGCTTATGTGCATTGCCGTCAACCTGTGTGGAAAAGCTGGGCCTGGAGCCAAGGGCAAGGACATGGAGGAGGGCAAGGCCGCCTTCTCGTGAGTGAGATACGCATGCTACTAAGGTCTGGGCTCCGCCCCTAGCCTAAGAGCCAGCAGCCGTCACCTCTGAGCCATTCACCACCGCCACATGCAGTGACCTTTCCTCCACAGTCACTGTCCTCATTTGGAAACCCTGAGTGGCAAAATCCACTTTAAAAAGCCACCCCCAGGGTAGTCTTGGGTGGCTTGGAGTTAGGGGTGACCTGTTTGAAAAGCAGGCTCCTAGGCACAGCTCCCAATCTAGAAGAGTAGAATCTCACCAACGTGTAAAAATCAAAATAGATCAGAATCGAGGGACACACTCACCGCCTTTCATTCTTTGACTCATTCATTCATGTGTCACTCAACAAATACTTAGCCAGCAGCTCCTAAGGGCAAGGCTTGATTTCCAGGCTGGGGGTAAAACAGGAACCAAAAAGGATAAAGATTCCTGTCCTTGCGGAGATGGTGATGCAGAGATTGTTCTGTCCATCAGCATCTGCAGAGAAATGATGCCGAGCAAAAGACCTTTGAAGACCGTTGCAGGGCGGGGCTGCCCTGAGCAAGCTGAACAGGGATGAGGAGAGAAAACAGGTGGTTTAGCACCCGCACATGCCAGACACACATATGCACCGAGACCTGTGTGCACACTCACAGAGGCGTGCACAGTATTGAGCTCTCTCTGAACCAGCCACTTTGATAACCATTTTACATCCATCATCCCGTGTAATCCTCATAAAAACTGGGCCAGGACTCACTACTACCTGCCTTAAGCAAACTGAAGCAGGGGTGACTCAATTATGCTCAAGGACACAGAGCCACCACGGGTCAGGCTGAGACACAAACGCTCGTCCCTGGCTCTGAATGAGCCTCGGGTGAGACCTCACCACCCCGAGCCAGGGTTGCTTTCTCTGGTGACGGCCCTTCTGCCCTGGGATGTAACCAGCAGAACTCTCTCCACAGGAAAGATGAATCCAAGGAGCCCATCGTGGAAGTTCGAACCGAAGAGGAGCGGACTCCCAACCATGATGGAGGGAAACACACAGAACCCAATGAGACCACGCCGCTCACAGAGCCCGAGTACGTGGGAGGGAGGGCCGGCGACCCCCTCACTGTTCTCCCCGACTTTTCCTGCCCTCTCCTGGACAAGCCAGGATTCCAGAACCGCCTCAGGAACCTGCTTGACGAGGCAATGCCTGACCCCACTCTCTTCAGAGAGAAGGCATTGTTAGTCCTACTCGGGTGTCTGTGAGAGCTCTTATGGGGCTCCTTGCACAAGTGGCAACCCCGGGCCCATTCCCACTTGGGCCTGCTCCAGCCCACCATTATTCTGGAAATGGTTTAAGAGAGGCAAAACCTGACTGAGAGAGGCTAGCTGATTCTTTTTAGGGTGTCTTAGGATTCTAGGCTTCTCTGTTTTCCTCTAAAACCCTACAAGTTGGGAACCTACCTACTTAAACTCCCTGGCCTTCATCTGTTCAAAAGCCTCAGGGGCCCCCACCAGCTGTACTGTTCTTAGGGAAACTCCTGCCTAGCCATGGAAGATCCCATGGCTGAGAAGGGAATAGAAATCCACAGAACTCTGTGGATGAACCCAGTGCTCTCAGGAGCCTCTCGAGCACTCAGCGTCTGCCTGATTCCTGACTTTCCCCATCCCTGCTCTGGAGCTCTGCAGGGTAGCTGGCCTCATTGCTCTGGGGCCCAGGAGTGGGTGGACCCTGGGCCAAAGCTTCCTCTCCTGGAGTGGAGCCCCGGGGCTGGACATCAGAACGTCTCAGACAAACCTGTAGGGACAGGAGCCCTGTGCAGAGAGACGGAGGCACATCAGCAGGGAGGAAGGGCTAGCAGGTCCCTTTGACACCGCCATGTTCTTTGTTGTCTCCTGTGTCCTCTTCTGTCCACTACCTGGGCGTGTGCCTCCTCTCAGCGTCCTCGTTTCTCTGTGGACCTGTGTTCCTGCCTGTGCATGACCCCCATGGCCCCTCTCCTCGGCTTCAGCCCTCTGCTGGCTTCTCTGTCATGTTTCAGCTTTCACTGTCTATTTTCTTCTACTTCCTGTCCTCTCCACAGGCTACCTGCCGACACTACAGCCACTGTCGAGGACATGCTGCCTTCTGTCACCACCGTCACCACTAACTCTGACACTATCACCGAAACCTTTGCCACTGCTCAGAACAGCCCCACCAGTGAGACCACCACCCTGACCTCCAGTATTGCCCCGCCGGCCATGGCCGTGCCGGACTCCAATTCTGTGCCGGCTGGCCAGCCCACCCCTTCGAAGGGTCCCGGGGTCGCTACCACCTCCCAGTCCCCAGCCTCAGCCCCCAAAGTCGCCCCCCTTGTTGACCTGAGCGATACCCCAACTTCAGCCCCTGCTGCCAGCAATTTGTCCTCTAGTGTCCTGGCTAACCAAGGAGCTGTCCTCAGCCCCAGCACCCCAGCTAGTGCAGGGGAGGCCTCCAAGGGCCCTCCAGCCAGCAAATCGACCCCTGTGCCAGCCTCCACCCCAGCAGGGGCAGCCAGTCCACTAGCAGCGGCAGCTGCCCCTGCCACAGAAACGCCCCAGGCCAAGCAGGAGGCTCCCAGCACCAAAGGCCCGGACCCAGAGCCCACCCAGGCCAGCGCTGTGAAGAGCCCGCACGAGGCAGCCACAGCCCCTGCTAGTCCGAAGAGCGAGGCTGCCTCCGTCAGCGCCACAAACCCTTCCCAGGGCGAGGACTTTAAAATGGACGAAGGGAACTTCAAGACCCCAGATATTGACCTTGCAAAGGATGTTTTTGCAGCCTTGGGCTCTCCTGCTCCCGCCGCTGGGGCCAGTGGACAAGCCCCCGAGCTTGCTCCTTCCACTGCAGACAGCTCTGTGTCACCTGCACCAGCAAAGACCGAGTACGGCCTCTCTTTGTCTGCTGTTGTCGGGTTGCGTCCCGTGGTGGTGTGCGTCTGTGCTGTGCCGTGTCCTCCTTGTTAGATGTGTCCTCAGCCTCACCCAGGGCTTCTCTGAGGCGACTGTCAACCACGGGACTGGGAAGAGGCAGAACAGGGGCAGGCAGGAGGGCCCGGGCAGGCGAGCAGCCGCCTGCTCACTAATTAGGCCATGTTAATTGTGTTTCATCCTTATCATCTGAGCGGGGCTTCTGCTTTCCCTGGGGAGCCCCGCAGTCAGGCCACTGACAAGCACTCTCGAGAAGGCGCTAAGGAGGCCAAGGTGCCCTGCTCTGCCACCCTGGGCATAGTTGGTATGTTATCGGGGCCAGGCCAGGTCCCCACTAGCGAGGCGCTGTTGTGCAGGAAGGAGGAGGCAGGCCCTGAGGCCACGCACAGGGAGGATGCGGTATGTGATGCAGCCCACACCAGCTGGGAAACCTGCTCTTCCCCCCACAACCTGGCTTCCGCTGTGGGGCACCAAGTGCCTGTTAGGTCCCTAAGTGCAAGGGAAAGCTCTCAACCTTTGGGTTTCGTAAATGTGACACTGGCATGTCTCAGGCTGGGGTCTGCACCCCTCTCCTGTGTCATTAGGTCTGTCCCTTGCTCCCGAGATCTGTGGAGGCAAAGTCAGACCTGGTTCTTACAGAGGCTTTGTGCCTGCCCTCAGATAAGCTGTCACGCTGCCACTAAAAGCTTTAAACAGACCCTCACCAGTTCCCCTGCATGTCAGCACCAGGAAATGAAAAATGAGCCCTAGCCTTGCCTTCTCTCTTAGTAACATGCCTGCCAGACGCTTGGGGGAAGCCAGCTCCCCCTACCCCACCCAGGCCACCATCCTCACCTCAGGTGGGCTGGAGCAGGCCAGGGTTCATTCTCACTCAGTGCTTCCCAGCCTGAGCTTTGCGTAGAGTCACGTGGATGCTTTTAAAAGTCAAGTGTCCAGGATTTGGAGGATCATGGTGATCCCAACAGGCTTGGCGGTTGGAGATAAGGGTCCCCAGAAGGCCAGAGCAAAAGCGGGGAGGTGTCTGTTGTCTAGGGTCTCAGCAGTGCTGTTTTTGTGACTCTCTGCAGGAAGGGCCCAGTAGAAGCAAAGTCCGAGTCCCAGGAGTCAGAAACGAAGCCAGTGCCAGCCGAAGTCAAGACGGTCCCCAACGATGCCACACAAACGACGGAGAATGAGAGCAAAGCATGATGGGTGACGAGCTGCGAGCAAAGATCAAAAAAAGTGACACAGCAGCTTCGCCAGAGCATCTCCAGTACCACACTCGCGCACACACATACACACACACACACACACCACAGCACACACGCCACCACAGTCGCATTCCTCTAGTGTCTTTTGCCTTTAAAAAAAAAAATTAAACAGATAAACATGGGATCTCCTTTTTGTAGGTTTATAGAAAGGGCTCCTTTGTTGCGCACTCCTTGTGAGACAAAAAGGTTAAACCCACAGCCAAACTAGGACACGCCGTTCCCTGAAACCATTTAAACATCCAACAAAAGGACCCCAAATTAAGAATCTAGGAAGCTCAGAAAAAAAAAAAATTCTAGGTTCAGTGAGACCGCACGTGGTGTTACCCAATTGGCACAGACCAGTTTCGGAGAAATACTTTCAGGCATTAAGACTAACCGAGTGAACAAAGTCCACAGTTTATTTTTATACTTTCAGTCAAGTTCAAACTCTGTAAAACCTCATAAGTAAGTTATAATTTCTGTTCACTTTGTATTTGTTCAGTATGCAAAGTGTGTCGCCCTTTCTAGCTGAGTTCAGTTCCCACATAGACCCTTGTTTTGTAGGGAGAATGCCAAATTGCAGCTTCTGGGGGTAGATCTCAATTTGCAGTATTCAGGCTTCGTTTGCTTTCTTTCTTTTTCATTGTATTGTTTTTACTTTGGTTTTTCTTTCTTTCTGCCAACTTTGTTTTCCAGTGTTTACAAGTTGACAAATGTTTGACTTTGCTTGTGTTTAAATGTCTGTGTAAAATAGTTGCCTTTTTTTTTTTTTTTTTTTTTTTGTTAAGTAACAGATACCGCCTAGAGGTTGGTGGGATCATCACAGGCTAGCTTTAGCACAGGGCACCGCGATGCAAGACTGTTGTTTACAGTGGCTCTTCCCCCCATCCCATTCTGAGCTGTAGCTTTTTGCCTGTGTCTGACTCAGGTGAAAATCCGTCTCGTTCTGGAATGGTTTGGCCTTTTGGGTTTGGATTCTTTTAAGTTTCTTTGGGGGTTAGAACACTTTCCGATGAGCCGCCACCTGCCTGTGTCTGTGACAAAGGACCCGCCTTCCAGGCACCCGCACCCTTCCTTCTGAAGGACTCCTTAGGCTTTGTTGAATGAAGCAGAGACGATTGTATAGTTGGGGCTGGTCTTGGTGAACACACATTTTTACCCCAAACATCCCCTTTTTGTAGAAAGCCAAATAAAATCTATACAGACCATTTCCTTTTGAGCCCGGAATCTAGATTTGAGCGGAAGAGCATGTGTGCTTCAGGGAATTAGTGTCTTTTTTTGGAAATCTGTTGAAGTAAAGTAACATCAGCCTTCTGTTCACTTAGGCAGCATTTGTAGAAACAAAGAAAAAAAAAACTACTGTCTGGAGTCATAACACAACTTTCCTGGATTGGAAACCAAGTGGGGGCGGGGGGGAAATACAGAAACTTTAAGGGGGATGGGAGGGGGGAGAAGGGAAAAGCCAGCCCTTTGTATAGAAATTTTGCTTTTTGTTTCTCATTCTACTTTAGAACTGCAAGCTTGTGCACTGTGGATGCGTGAATATTTTAGTGTGAAACGTGTTTTTGTCATAGTATTGAAATAAAACTTCAACATAGTTTGGTTGTGGAAGGTGTAGCAGATAGTTCAGACAAATATTCAGGAAACAAAATAACTCTTATAAGGAATCGAAGCCTTTAAACCAAGACAATGAACTATAAGTGATGATGATGATGACGAAGAAGAGGATGCTAAGTCAGCTGAAACTGATCCTCTGGCATGAGTTCCTTTCCTAAGGTGCAAAGCAGCAAGAGTTTAGGGGGGCCAAACTGCCTCTGCGTTCACTCTGGGCCGCACACCCCCGTTCTGACACTTCTGCAGGCCAACCGGTGGCAATGCTAGATTATCATTTCAAACTGTGAAAAATAATGGTCTTGTCATTTGCTAAATGTGGGGTTATTTTGCATTTTCTCAGCTCCTGGGGATGGAAATGGAGGATCCCAGAATATGCAGTCCTGGCCCCTTTGAGTTTAGGGCCTACAGAGATCTCTAGTTCAAAGGCACAGGCCCTTGGGAAAAAGTATCACAGGAAGACAGCTCTTTGAGCACAAGCAGAATTGGAAAGTGGGCACCTAAGACAGAGAGGGCCCGGTGGTGGGTGGACGCTTCTGGTCACAGGCTGTTCAGTGGAATCAGTGTCTCTCGTCTTATGACCATAGTGGTTTGACCAATGAGGCCAACACCATCCTGGAGACCACAAGTGGTTGTGATTGACCCTGACACGTAGGTGTAATCAGTCCTCACACAGCCTAGCCAGTGCGGCTGACTCCCCACCGCAGCCCAGAGCTCTGACCCTGCCGTGCTGGTCCCTAGACTGCCTACACTTCAGTCTGCCTCTTTTACATTAGACATTCATTTGTCTCAGTGTGCATGAGTTTTCCTTTATTTTATCTTATTTTATTTTTTAAAGATCAAGCCTTCCTGTAAACTCAAAGAGTCACTTTATTTTTAAGATTTCTTATCTTTTATGTTAAGAGATAAAAGCATATGATTTTCCTTTTAAATTCTCCCAAGGAGGCATCCACTCCGTCGGTTTCCGTGTCGATGTGTCTATATGTGTATGTGCCATACATATGTATTCACAGAAAGATTGTCATGCTCAAGTTCTGCGGGAAGGCACTCGGGTGCCGTGAGCATGGTCTCCCACTCCTGAAGGGCCTGGTGTATAGAGTGCAGCTTTGAAGCGGAACCCTGTTTTCACACTTTTCTGTGGACCCTCCCATGTCCCAGCTTTCACCCTAGGCTGTCTGTCTGGATGGTGGCTTCAGACCTCCATTAACATCCCTACCCAACACGCTGTACTTTGGGGGCCTTCTCTCTTGTTATAAAACTTTTTACCAAGTGAAACATCAACACCACCCTTGTTTCCATTCTCACTGGTGTAAATACTGAGTACTAACTGAGAATTTTGACTTTGCATTCTGTCAGAATACTTGTGTTCAATAAAAACTGAAAGAAAAAAAGCAATTATGGTCAAACTGGGATTTCTTTCAATTCAGTGTCCATTATGTGAGTCAAATCGTGAGTGTTCTTGTGTTATTTTTTGTGTATATTTTGTTTTTTGCTTTTTAAGCTGTGGTCAGCTAGCTCTGAAGTTCTTATTGCCCCAAGAGTGGTTTCTGTTTCTGGAAAGGTTAATGGAGGAGTCCTAGATTAGAAGGTCCAGACAATGGATCTGTAAAAGTTTCACTCAAATCATGGTTGTGCCTTCCTAATTGACCTTGGAAGTGTTACTTACCTCTCCAAAAGTCAGATTCCCCTTATTACAGACAGGAAGTAGCTAGAGAACATAGTCAAGTAATAGTTGGTGAACTAGACAGTTACATGAAGGAATAGTGTAGTGGGGTTTTTTTGGCTAAAAGTACATATCAATAATTGTTGAATAATCTGTGGAACCAGGAGTTTCTAGAGGAGCACTGACTGCAGAACCAAAACTGGGCGGGCCACCTAAGGTTCTAAAACGCCAAATACAAGCAAGTGACTACATTTGCACGAATCTGAGAGTGCCACCTGCTTTATTTTGTGTCTTGGGTGCCTAACTTGCCTGTTCTAACAGCACAGCCATACGCATCTGTGTGGTCTCCTTTGACTCACATATCTAGCCTCAGGGTGTGGAGGGATCGAGAAACATCACTTACGGAGACTTGCATAGCACGCAGAACGATGACCCTCTCTATTGACCCACAAGGGCTACTTCCCAAGCCTCACTCCTCCAGACTAGTCACCGTGCAGATTCATTCAGAAATATTGAGCAACTATCTCTAAGATGCCCTGCAGTTGAGATACAACAGTTGAGAAAATGCCTCTTGAATGGAAGCTACATTCAAGTGTGGGATCGAGGCGAACCACGAGCTCACGAAACAGATCCGGCGCCCACTAGGCTATTCACAGATACCTCTGCTCTCCTTTTGCCCTTCCAGGCACACGGTAGGACTGCACTTCTCAGCTCTCATACTCCTCGGTGGACTATAAACAGAAGGAGCTTGTGTTGCTTCTAGGAAGAGCCTTTGTATGACCCTCTTCCCCCAGCAAAGTAATCAGCAGTGCTCCAGATGCCATTGCCTAGGCCCAGAGTGAGGGACGTGAAGAGGGCCAGACTGGACGTGGGGACTGCATGAAGGGTAAACCCCATGCTAAGCCAGTAGATGTGTAGCAGCAGCCTTCCCAAAGGCACGTGGCAGCAGGCACGTGTGTGTGCTTGGTATGGGTCTACTGATAGAAGGGATGGCGTCTAAAAATAATAAAATACAAAGGTCTTGAAATGATAGACACCTATTGGAGCAAAATGCTATGATTCAGTTTTGCTGGCCTGGTCTGCATAATCAGCCCATGGTTCCAATCCACAGATGAGCGTGGTCCAACTTAAATGTTGGTTCGTATGTTCATTTATAAGTGAGCGAACAAGATTTGTGTCAGAACCACACACTCACCAATAGTGTGACTGACTTGTTCAATCGCTTTAAATTTTCTATCCAGTATAAGTTCTTGAATACTTGGAAAATACTGTCTCAAGTACTTTATGGTTTTTACATTGTAATGGATGCAGTCATGACACAGCTGGAAATTGAATCTGGATCATAAATATTTACCCCATCACTTGCTCAAATCTAGAAAAACACAAAAGTCAATAAATAGCCCCGATCTGTAGCTCTTACTAATTTCAGCAGCACCTGAATATTCAGAAGAGAGCTGATTCCAATATGGTGCCCCCAGGTGAGGATTTAGTTACAGGGGTCAGTATTATTAAACAGTATTCCTACCATACAGACATGATCGTCATAAATACCTTCAAGGAAAAAGATATATGATAGCAATATTATAATATTAATGAAATGATACATAACTTTTTATAATTTAACTTTTTAAATGGCTGTGTGTAATAATTGGCTCACAAACTTTCTAAAAATTTAATAATTGGCTCTCCGAATCCAGTATAAGCTGGAGAAATCTTACATAATAAGCCACTTAATTTCGCGATTTGTGAGCCTGGTATTATTTAACCTATCATAGCTAAATCAGAGGACAGTAGTAAATGCAGTGGAGGATAACATCCAGGTATTAAAGGATTAAGGGGAATTATTATTTTATATGGGGAAGGCAGAGGATTTTCTGAAAAGATGACATTTGAGCAGTGACTTGAAAGAAGTGAGGGGCTGAACCAGGCAAAAATCTGAAAGGAGGGGTTGCAGGCAGAGGGAACAGCAAATGCAAAGGTCTAGTAGGCATTTCTGAGGGACAGAAAAGGAGGGCAGTGTGACGGCGCGGGAGAAAATAGCGGGATGGGCTAGAGAGTAAACAGGCAGCAGGGACCCAGGTACATAAGGTCTGATGACAGTTGTGAGAGTATTTCCTCTTTAAGAAAAAAGGAAACTCCAAGGAAATTTTTGAGCATAAATCCAACAACCTTGACTTTTAGAATGATCGCTCTGGATGCTGGGTGTGTGACAAACCATAGAAAAGTAAAAGAGAAGGTGAGGGCACTAATCAGGACACGGTAAGCCAGGTGGGACAAGATGGCATGCTGGGAGCCAGCTGGTGCAGAGGAGGGGTAGGGGGTGGCCGGATTCTGAACACACACTGTGAACAAAGCCAGCCTTACTGGAGAGTGGACTGGGTGCAGGTTTGAGGGAGATTCCAAGAATGATTTGCAGAGTTGATGACCAAGCAACCGAAAGGATGGAAGTGCTTTTCACATTCCAAAGGGAAAAAAGAAGAAGGTGAAGAAGGAGAAACAGATTTGAGAAGTGTGCTTTCAAACGGAGATATGATCTGTGACCCCTCTAGTGGAGACTTTGAGGTCCAGAGTAGAAAGACATATAAGAGCTGTCAGATACAGCATGTGTTTAAAATCATGGGCGGAGGTGGAGAAAACGTGACCCCAGGTCTCCTTTCCAGAGTAGCCTCCTCTCAGTCCCCTGACAGAATTTGCCTCCATCCGTCCCACTGACCGCCATGCCTGGAGAATAGATTTGTGACTGCTGGGAGAAAAGGATTTCCTGGGAATCTTATCACCCTGGTATTGTTATACCTTCCTCCACCCTAGTGAATGCTGCCAGTGCTGCCAGGACCTCACGCCCTGTCATCCTGGGTGCTATTTAGAGACACTGCAGTTACTTCGCCCGAGGGAACTGTCCTTGTAAAAGGAGACTTGGCTTCATCCCTTGTGCTGTTGGGGCCGGCAGAGTAGGATGCCTCTGAGCGCCCGGTGAGAGCAAAGCTCCTACAGATTCCTCACGGCGGCTGAGCTTGGATGGCAGAAGCTAGATAACACAGTGCGGGAGGCCCCATTGTAATTCCTCCAGCTGCCTGCAATCCATCAGCCTCGGCCTGGACAGAATTACCTGTGCAGAATGGGAAACTCATTACGCTACTTGTGTCTTCCCAGCAAGACCTTCAGTGGCTCTCAACTTCATTCAGCAAAACTGCAAAATCCTTACAAAAGACAAACACAACCCAAATGGGTCAAGCTTTACTAACTGTCCATTCTTAGCACTTCTCCAACTTGTGTCTGTGCTGTGGCCCTGCTGAGCTCCTGGGAAGTCCTAAAGTGATCCACATCCTCTCCCGTTTCCGAGAATTTACAAAAATGTTGGGTTTTTTTCTATTGAATATCTGAAATTTTCAAACACTGTGGACATATTTTGCAGATGAATGCATCGACCCAGATCTAGGTTTGGTAACAGGAATCCCAGATATTTTGCATGGCCACAGAGACTCCAAAGGAAATAGGCCTCTTTCATATTACTTGTCCATTTCCATGGAAACCTGTATCTTTTACAAGCTCAGGAGCCAATTTAGGAGGCCAGTGGAGCACTGGGAAAGCAGTCAGTGGCGCAGGATGCTGATGGTGGGACCAGTGGAAACATCAACAGAGGTTATTAGGGAAATCATGCTAGACTCTGAACAACATTAAAGAAAGTATTCTCCAAGGCATGGCAGCATGTGATCAATGAACATTCCAGAAAGCCTGCACCTCTGTGCCGGGGCAAATGTCACGGGCTATCTGCAGAACGAGGCGTTAGAGTTCACTTCTCTTGCTATGTCTGACTTCAGCTCAGATAATACTACAGAAAGGAAGGATGACCACATGACTGCCTTCACTATTAGATGTGGTTGGGAACAATTAAGAATGGGAGACTGGTAGAGGAATATATGAGCAAAAAAGACACTGGGGTTATAATTTTGGCCTCTGCCTGCCTGCTTCACTCCCCAGCTCTGCTCTGGAAGTCCCATATAACGAGCAAATCTCACTCTTCTTCCCCTGCTCCACCATCAAGTGTCTGTCTGTCTTGCCCCTCCTTACCTGGTCTTCCCTGGGGACTCTGATTCTTGAAGATTACTACTAACCCGCACCTGGAGTGTCCTAGCACTTGGGAACAGGGGCAGTGTCTTTCTCACTGTGAGCATCACCCTAGACTATCTCTTCTTCATCTCCTCTTGATGTGAAGACTTGGCTCTTTGCCCCTGGTCCTCCACACTTCCACTGTTAACCTGGGTGACCCCAGGGCTTCATGTGGACATCCACTCTAACTTTCAAGTCCTCAGCATGACCTCCTGGTCTCTGGTGGTGCTCTCCTTTACTCCATTTGTACCATCCCATCTCCTGGCTAAGCCCTAGACTTTAGCATCCCACATTTCAGCCATCCACCTGAAGTGGAATTCAGATTCCTCACTGCTCTCCAGGCAGCTCCCACACTCAACTAGTCCCATTTATGCATTCTTTGTCTTTTCTGGGTTCTCAGCTAATACCCTGACTTACAGGGGCAATTGAGGCAGAGACTGATTTGGGGAAAGTGAAGGCAATTTTGTAGAAAATAGGAACAAGTTTTTGAGCAATAGTAGAGATATTGTCTGGCCATTGACGGTCTTGTTGAGTGTGACCTTAATGATTTATTGGTATGAATGCATTTTCCCCATTTGCATATCCTCTCTCCAGTTCTCTTTGTATTCAGTTTCCATTCTCAGGT